GCCTGCACATGGGTCTCTGCTCCACCATTGAGTCTCTGTGGCCTACATGTGGGTCTCTGCTCCACCATTGAATCTCCGTGGGCTGGAGGGGACTTTGCTTTCTCCTACTCCATGCAGTAGAACTGGGTGTGGGTCTCTGACTTTCTCTGGCAATGTAGCTCTCTCTGTCTGTCTGTCCTTTGTTTGGGCCGATGGTTGTCATTTGTTCAGGTCAACGGCCTCTCCTCCAGGTTCACCCCCACCTACTTCTTTCCAGGACAGTCCTTTCCCTCACAAATATGGATTTGCAGAGGTGTTTCTCTAGTGCTCATTGGCACGGCCTGGGCTGGGGGGGTCTCTGCCTTGGAGCCAGGGGAGGTTTTAGCTCTCACAAGGTGGCCCTTCCCCCACTACCAAAAAAAACCACACACACAGACACACACACCCCCAACACATTGCCAACACTTGAAAAGTCTTTCCTTTGTTCTTTTAGATAAGAAAAATAGTGCACATACTTTTGAAACACAGTAGATCATTAGGAAAATTACAACCTTGTTTTGAAAAACCTGTTTTCTTTCATTCTGTCAAATATAAACACTATCATATCTAAACCTTTTCTTACATATCTAGCAAGAGGCTTTCTTAAAGTGAAGAAGGAAAAAGAAAGCTGTTTCACAGAATATTGGCTAGAACCATGCTATCATCTGTGCCTGCAGGGTTCAGGACCTTTTCACAATCTACCTTAGATGGTTAGGGAACCTCCCCTTTGACCAGCCAGCTCATCTAAAAACCCTTTATTTAATGAGTTCCAAGTTCATCTGAGGATATAAGAACAAAAATCAGCATGGCAAGTCTTGTCAGTGGCCCCGGTAGTTCCCCTGCTTTAAAGCCATTGGTGACATTCTATTTTTAAGTTTTATACAGTGCACCTAACTCTGTGGGGGGAGGCCTTGAAACTCATTTACTAATCACAACTATGTTAGCTACTGAGTGATGAGTGTTGGTGGCCCATTGCTTCTTTACATTAAGGAGAATTCTCACCCCTGGAAGACATTTCATACCCCAATGTCCTGCAGCCATTGCAATGAATCAGAGGTGTGGTACAGTGTTGCTTTTGTGCTGTCTGTAGGTGCTGGACAGCAAAATCTGGAAACAGTGTTCTGAGACAGGCTCCCATATATAGGCTGTACAGAATGGGAAAACTCAGAAATACTTGTTCAGTTTCTTCTTGCTTCTGTACAGAAGAACAAACTCCTTCCAAGGATGTTGGAATGTAGAGTCCTGTTAAAAATGTTAATGAACCAAAATCTGAGTGCTGAGCATGGTTTCCCCTGTGCCATATGGTGTCAATTTTCAGAGCTTCTTTGGAACAGGTATTTTTCAATAGGATACCATCCACTGAAAACAGAGGAACAGCAAAAGTCTGACTCAAGAGCTCCCAAATTCCTGGATAGGTCCTTTGCTGAGTCTGCTGGCTGGATATTGTGAAAATCTACTTAGGGCAGATGCTGTATCTCTGGGGAGAGTGTTATCCTTCCATGAAGGAGCACAAATGGCAATAGGCAAGCAATGCAGTTGTTGTCTTCCAGTTTGTTGTTATGATTTCTATAAATCAGTAAGGCAGTTGGTATATGACAGAGTGCCATCTTAACACCTGAGTTTTGCTGAGTGTTTTCACTACTTGTTTTGAGAAGCAATTGCATTTGGATCTAAGAAGTCAGCAAGAATCTTCCTTGGTTGCCCAAGGAAGTTGTGGATTCCCCCTCCCTGGACATGTTCAAGGCCAGGCTGGATGAGGCTCTGAGCAACCTGGTCTAGTGGAAGGTGTCCCTGCTCATGGCACGGGGGTTGGAACTAGATTATCTTTAAGGTCCCTTCCAATCCTAACCATTCTATGATTCCATTCTATGAATCTCTGCTTCTCGTAAAACCAGAGATACCATGAGCAGTTGCTACTTCTAGTGAATTCTCACGGAAGACTGAGTCATTGAGGGGCAGAACCTGTAGCTGATTTACTGCTCTATAAGCAGCAGTACTTCTCGGCTCCCACTGAGTTCATAACTCAACAGGACTGAGTAACTGCTTGCTTACATAGAGACAAGAGTTCCCTTTTCCCCTGTTGATGCAATACCTCCCATTAGTATGAGTTCAACAAAAGTGGATGTCTGCTTCACATGCAAGGTAGAGGTTCCCAGGGAATTTGAAACCATTCCTCCAGTCTTTTCCCCACATCAAACGTTGTAATTCTAGTAATAGCAATTAATTCAAGCACAACAATAACATTAAAATACCTAGAAAACATATAGGCAGGAATGTTCTAACAGATGCGTTTGAGTTATGAAGCTTTCCTCTCTTGGAAGGAAACAGTAATTCACAGTTGAGGAACTTCTAAGTTACAAAGAAAAAATTTCCCATTAGTCAGTATGCAAAGGGGAATTTATACCAATAACTTCTTTAGTAAGCAAGGTTTCAGGCTGACCAAAAATGTTCATAATATTAGTTTGCTGTTGTTGCTATTTCCCTTAATGCACCTTTTTTCTACTTTAGCAAAGTCATCAATATGTTCAAGATATACATTTGAAAGGTGGGGAACTACTGGAAGAGTTACACCTTTCTGAAGATATAAACCTTATCATACTGTTCTTGTTGCGTATCTGGAAAGTAATAAAGGGTATGTATGGCTTCTTTTTTAGGAAAAAAAAAACAAACCTTCTGCCTATGTTATGCAGTATTTATCATTTTCAGCAGCCTAGAAAAATTCACTATCAAAAAAAACCTGATTGAAGTGTATCTAAGGCTGTAAGTGAAGGGAAGGCAGACATGAAAATAACAGTGGAGTTTCAATTAAACTTGAATGATTTATAGTTTGGATCAAGAATTGGTATTATAATTTAAAACATAAAAGCATACAAAAGATTTGAAAGTTGTAATATAGCTGACAACTAGCATTTGTTACATAAAATCAATTAGTGGCACATTTTTGGGAGGAAAGGAAAATTAGTTCTGTAACATGTAGTCATTGTATAAGGGAAAGGACAGAGTATTTCATTCACTAGTTCAAAGCATGCATTTTTGGGGGGGAAAAAATGACTTTGTGATGTCTATACCTGCCAAACAAAATTCCTCTCCTTTTTTTGAGAATCTCTCAATGGATCTTTTGAACTTTCAGGAGTGACTGTTAAGTATTCAAAATCATGAAGTTAACTGGCTTATCCACAGTTTTAAAATATTCTTTGCATTGTAATATTTCTGAAATTTCAGTTCCGTTTTTCTCCTGTTAATATATGACATTCAACAGTACCATCCCCATTCCTCATAGATGTATGCTGGCAGGCTGTTATGGTTAGGTTTGTTACTATTAAGGTTATTGATTGATTATTAATAATTATTGTTATTGTGGGGGTTTACTGTATTAACTTTTACTTCAAAATAGTATAGAACATGAAAAACTATGCCAAAACTAACAATGTATTGACATGAAAAATTAATTTTAATTACACTTCAGAGAGTTTATACTACATTTATGTAGGCTCAAAGTATCACTCCAGCTATCAGTTACAGCTAGAAGTGAAGTTTCAAGGGTTGCTCTTCAGTAACTGTGACAGATTGTGCAGATAAAAGCAGTAGATAGCACTAACCATCTACAAATGTCTTTAGAGAGTAGAATGAGTATTTTAGCTGTGAGGAGCAGAGTGTGTTAAGTGAAGAGGACATTTTAGTTCAGAATGCTAAAGAAATTAGATCTAAAATTATTTGCTTAATTCTAGAAGGTAACAATTTCTGCAAAGCAAGATAAGGAAAACCTTTTAAAGTAGAAGAATAGAAAGCAATTTAAAGTTTGGGAATTTTAGGTGGCATTGGAGCAAATAAAAATCAGATTATTGAAATGGAGTTTGTTTACTCTTTTATTCTTGTTTCTATAGAAACCTCAGCCACATTTCAACAAAATGCAACGGAGTCTGTTACATACGGGATCCCAGCTGGCGCATGGGACATGTTTGGTTTTTTCTCGCACTAACGTCTTTCAGTGCTTAAAAGGACAATCGGTGTTGTCTCATGTTGGATGCAAAGTGATTTTGGCAGTGGACTCTCCTAAACGATGTCTTCATGCAGGTGCAGCACACTTTGCCTCAAAGAAAAGTGCTTTTTCATCACAGCCAACAGACACTCCTCACAAAGTACCAGAAGAGAGAAATCCTTTGACTTCAGCCACTGATAGACCAAAGCAGAGCCCTGTGGAGTCACATTCTTCAGATGCTGATCCATTACAAGACAAGTCAATTAGTCTTGTTCAGAGATTCAAGAAAACTTTTAAACAGTATGGAAAAGTCATGATTCCAGTGCATCTTCTGACTTCCACTGTATGGTTTGGCTCCTTTTACTATGCAGCCATTAAGTAAGTTGATTCTTTGTTGCAGTGCCCAGTACTGCTGTTGAATTGAGACTTTCAGAGGTTAAAGGACATATAAGTTATTACTACATGTTTAAAAGTCCCTCTGTATGTAATAGGGAAATGAGGCTACATTTTTAACTAAAGCATGAGATTAATATCATAACTATATAGGATTCATGAGTGTCAGGTGTGTACTATTATCATGCAGCTATTGCTGTGTACCAGATATGTTGCTAACATTTGAAAGAATGCTCAGTCTCCCTAAAATATGCATGGATGTAAACAGCATTGAAATTGTTAGTAACCTCTCGCAAGATAAAGACTGAGATTTGGAATGCTGATTATGAATTGCTAGGTGAGATCTTTATAGACCTCTTCTTTTTTTGGCATTGGCTTGAGGTGTGTTTCATCACTTCCTTCCCACTTCATCCTCCCTCATCATTGGGCTTTCACATCACTCTGATCTCCTTGGAAGCTATGTATACCTTTTCCTTTTTTATTTCTTTTTCCTGTCTTTCCTGCCTTCTACTGAAAAAAAACCTGCTTCTGTAGGCCAGACTTTTAGATTGGAAATTAAATATTTGCGTGGCTAAAAAAAAAGATAAATCAATATTCTAATTTTAGTTTCTTTCAGCTATAGTGTGTGCCAGATACTGTTCTTTAAAATGGCATTTATTACAGAAAAACTACTATACCAGCTATGAGCTACTAGTTCAGATGAAAGAGGTTTTATTTATCTGCAAATGCTTTGATAAATTTGAGTAGAAGTTTGTATCTAGATTGCTAGTGTTGTATAGTTAATAATAGAAAGCATTAAACAGTGTCAGTTTGTGGTGGCAAGGAGGGGACTTTGACATAAGAATGCCTTACTGCACAAGTGTTTGTTTTAGTTACTCTAACCAGCTGGCATAATTGCCCTTTCTAGGAGCTATAGATCCAAATGTCATTCTAAATTTAGCTCGTGTCAGAGGAATAAAGGTCTTGAGCTATAAAAATATTTTGCTTTGGATGAATTCAGGTTGATGCTTAAATCTGATTGAGTAAAGATTACTTTTCTTGAAACACTTAAGTTAGCTAGCTATAGCTTGAAACACTATAGCTAGCTACCTATACTAAAATAGGTATTTGATGGATGAAAACAACGGAAATATTTAACTAGAAACTAATTATAACAAAGCTTCAGTTTGTTCTGCCACAGAAGCAGCACCCTCTTGAAGTGGAAAAATAACTTTCAGAATGACTGCTCATAATATGAGACTAAACAATGGTGGTTTATGAAATAATACAGTTAATGCTGTCTTTCAGATCTAACTAGGTCTCCATTTTCCTACTCTGGGGATAGGCCTTCAGATTGTACGTTCTAGTAACTGTTAGTAAATTACTGCCTGTTCCTGATGCTAAAGTGATCGTGTGTGCAGAAGAATGCTTAAAATATTAGGTAGGAATGTATAATGATACTAACAGTACATCACCTCTAAACATTGGAAAGTCAGATCTTCTATAACTGCAGGTAGCTTTCTACTGTAAAATAAGGACAGGCTGTCTTTTTTTCTTTGGTGCTGTTGTTAGCTTCCCTGGTTTTCACATAGAAAGAATTTGAGATAGGAGCTCCCTCCACCCATCTTGACACCTTGTATTGACAAGGTATAACAACTGAGCACAAAACCCCTGAAGTCTTGTCCATATAACATGTTGCTTCCTTTTGTTTTGCCATATTCCATTTGTTTGATATATTTAAAAGTGAATGGAGGACACTGAAGTATGGATTCTGTGCTTCTGGGCATGCTGCAGATTAGTCTGAAATTTGAAAAAGAAAAAAAGCAATTTTAGGCAAAACAGAACATGAAGTTGAACCTTCACAACTGGAGCCTCAGAAGCTGTCTTACCACCATTATATCTACTTACCTCCAAACATAATAAACTGGGACACAGGTAAGTTAGTAGCTACTTAGCCCAACAGGGATAATATAAATGAGTCACCTCTTGGAATGCTGAAAAGAACATTAATTTGCGTATATGTACAGAAATATAAATCCTGTAAGTATATTGCTTAGATGAAAAAATACTTTGTTATCAAATTACAGAGCTTGTGTAAGAGAGTTAAAGAATGGAAATCATACTGTAGATCACTGTTCAGGCTTCAAATTCCAATTGAGGTTGCCAATTTTTTTCTCTTTTATAGAGGAGTGAATGTTGTTCCATTCCTAGAGTTGATTGGCTTACCAGACAGCATAGTGAACATCCTGAAAAATTCCCAGAGTGGAAATGCACTAACTGCATATGCATTGTATAAAGTAAGTATAATTATAGTTTGTAAGTAAGCTTTAAATCTTGCCTGGTGAACTAAACAGGGTTTATTTGTTTAGAGCAGAAAGCATTTATGCTGTTTTCTCTCTTTGATAGTTACACACACTTGAGCATTCATTTTTGTCGTAAAAATGGTCACATGCAAGTTGATATGAGCTCCATGTTCCTTTAAGCAGTCTCTCTGTATTTCTGAAATAACTTGTTTGTTTGCTGCAGAACTATTGTCTGCCCTCAGAGATTTAATTACAATTAAGTTATTCCTCTGTATCCCTGACATAATTAACAAGGGTAAAGAGGTAAAGTCTAAATATCTCATGATTTCCAGATAAAAGTACAGTTATTTTTGTCCTAGAGGATTTGCTAGTTTGTCTTCCTACCTTAGTTCTCCATTGTTGTCAAGTATTTTCATTGTCCATTTGAATCAATTACTTACATTCAGGTTTGGGTCTCTTTTTATTGCTTTATATGTGCACAGTCTGTGTTTGGAAAATGTGAAACATGTCAGACCATGCAAAAAAACAAAGTACTGTACTTGCTTTGAATGCCACTCATCTGTTTTGTTTCCAAATGTGATGTGCTTCTTATCTGTTATTTAAAGGGATTATTTTCCCAAACAAAATGTGAAACCCCTGGTCTTGCCAATTATTCCTGTGCTTAAAAGAAACCAATAAATAAATGTGGTTAAATATAAAGATTTTCATATATCTGGGAGATCTGTCAGTGTTGGAAGAAACTTTCAAGACGTGAAAGCACTAGAGTAGGTTGCAAAGGGAACATTGTGCAGCCTTTATCTTTGAAGTTCTGAAAGAACAGGTTAGTCTATCTAGAATAACAGACCTGGTTTGTTGTGTCTCGGATTAGCTGACCTCCTAAGGTCTCTTTCAGCTCTAGTTTTCTATGTGTGAGTCCTAGTGTAAGGACTGAAAGATGCTGATAGTCTTGTGAATTTTAGAATTTAGAGTATCTTGTCAGTATTTCCTCTTTGCTTATATGGCTCAGTGTTCATATACTGTCTGTTCTGAATTGCTTTCTGAGATGCATAATGCTTGTCCCACAAGCTGCACAGGGAGCAGTTTTTGGTTTGGTTTTGTTTTTTTAATGGAAGTCTTAATGCCTGTGCTGGTTTGGTCAAAAAGATAGTTTAATTTATACATTTCTGGGGGATGCACTGTAAATTGTCTTATTTCCTTATAAATAGAAGATCTTTTTATCTGAAAGTGGGCAAAATAATTTCTCAATATTAAAAATACATTTTGATAGATGATATTGCCCTGTTTTATTGATGTGGTGTGTTCTTTGGTTTCTTTAAGATTGCAACTCCTGCCAGATACACTGTGACTCTGGGAGGAACATCCATCACTGTTAAATATCTGCGTAAGAGTGGCTACATGTCCACACCACCACCAGTAACGGAATATTTACAAGATAGGATGGAGGAAACAAAGGATAAGATTACAGAGAAGATGGAAGAAACAAAGGATAAAATTACAGAGAAGATGGAAGAAACAAAAGATAAAATCACAGAGAAGATACAAGAAACCAAAGATAAAGTTTCCTTTAAAAAAATAAAGGACTAGGAGAGATGCTTAATTTTTTGATATATTGAACTTAGCACTTTAACCCTTTGTGAGGCAGCACATACAAAGTGCACTTCTGAGCTTTTTTTTTTTTTGGAGGGGGCCTTTTTTTTTCCCCCCCTTTTCTGAAGACTACAATTGCTCTGTGGATTTAAAAATTTAAAAATTCTGTGTATTCACCAAATTTAAAGTTCTGTGGGGGAGAGGTTGTGACAAAATTTCAACTTACAGAAGAAAAAGTGAATCTCAAAAGTTTGTGTGTCCATTGGTAATAGTGTTAATCTTTGTTTTGGTGTTCGTGTCCTGTCCCATCACA